GAAATTAAGTTCGGGTTACGACCAAATCGGGTCGCGACTAGAGGTTTGGAACGAATTATGGTCGTAACCAGAGGTTTCACTTTATATACTTATATATATATACATTCTTATAGTACCGTGAAAGTACTCAGCATCTGAAACATTCTCAGTGACAGCATGAGATCAAAGCAGTGTGCATAAGTTATATATATCTCCTTGCCACTGTATGGACGATGCTAAAACAAATTTCAATAATCACTTTGACTCATCACATTTTGGACTTTAATATGTTTGTATAGATCTCGAGCAGCAAATAGATGTAGACTAAGAATATGTCGTAACAGCTAAAATATTCTCGTTAGTCTGTTTTTTATGAAGTTTCTGAGTTCGTTTGGGTTCCAGAGAGACAGCGAGTGACTGCTCATGAAACAAAAATTGACGTTGTTCCTTTAACGATGAAAACAAGGAAACCTCACAACATGACTCTGTACAGATAAAACTGTATTCGTTTTAATAATCATAGAGAATTTCACGCAGTGTTCTACTGCACGAGTCTGTGTGATAGTAACATTGTGGGACGACTCGTAGTGTCTTACTAACCTACTCTATATTTCAGCTATATTGTTGGACACCTACAGTGTGTTACCACCTTATTCTGTGTTATATTTATATTATGGGTATACTTGCATGGTGTAACCACCATGCTCTATATTATAGTTACATTGTGGAATCCCTGCTCTGTGCTAGTGTCTTTCTGGGGAACGAGATGCAAATAATATTATGATTAAACATTATTTAAATAAATATGTTTTAAGCTTATAGGGATCGTACATTGCTTCTGGAATGAGAGGTAATCAGATCTGATCCAAGGAAGGTGAGAGTAGTTTCAATTCAGTAAATCAACAGCCTTTCACTAGTGTGAAGGTTGCGCTCCCAAACGATCGGCATAAGTTACGACAGTGAGGAAAAAATTTCCCCAGCTCTTACTGACGGCTTCTGCGTCACATTAAATATCGTTCAAGGAACACTAGACGGCCTAGAACAAAACATTATGAAACACATTGGTATTTTCTCTCCCTGCAGTACAAAGGTTGAGTGATAGCCTATGTGTGTGCGCCTTCACCGAGATTACCCGTGGAGTAAGGTCTTTAGTGGTGATTTACGAGTATCAGAAGTGGTGAGGCGTTAGGGGGATACAAAGAGGGAAAATAGTGGGAACTGGGAAAGGCTGAATATAGGGGTAAGGGAAGACTGGACGAGGGATGTGAAGAGAGATGAGGTAGAAGCAGAAGAAAACAAGGTAGGAGATTCTGAAAGATAAAATGAGTTATAATGAATGACGGGGGAATACAAATTAGTACAAGGAGGTGCAACCAACAGGCAACATTTAACTGCTGTAAAGACGCTGAGGTCAGTGGGAGTATGCTAAGGTCACTAGTGGATATTCTGTCCTAAGCTGTTTGGGTGACTAGTGTCGAGGGTTCTAGAGCAACATGGCTTGCTCCCGTGGTGTTTAAAAATCTGAGGTCAAAATATTGATGGAGCAGGTTCTACCTCTCCAGGAGGATAATAGGTGGTTGAAAACTCGTCTAGTGGTTGGAGTTGGTGAGGAGAAAAAGGTTATCAGCGGTGAGGAGGAGAATGGCAACCACTACAAGTGGGAAGTGGTTCCCAATAAAGAAAGAAACATTAAAATAAGGAAGGTTAAAAGACAGAATTTGAAGGTAGGAAATCGCTTATCCGTTCTCCAGGATGAGTGTACTTCACTGATGAGTGGGGTAAATGGTACTACTAGCTCCCCTACTTATAAAGGTGCTTGGTGGCTCACAGGTAAGATATATGGACGGTGCTGTCTGTAACAGAGAAAAGAAGGTGAGACAGCGTGTTTCCCAGGAGCTGATGTTGGTGACATAGACAACAGATAATATGTTAGGTAATGGGAACAAACCTATTATCTGCCTAAGTGCTGGTGGAAACGATATTGGGAAGGGCAGGAAACATGAGCTGCTAGATAAGTACAAGTAGGATATAGATTTAATTAGATCTAAAGAAAAGGTCCCCATTATATGCTGCATTTTGCCTAGGAGACTGGGCAATGAATGGATGTCTAGGCCAAGTGGTGTAAATTGCTGGCTAGACAGGTACTGCAAGGAACTTGCAATCCAGTTCATGTATGTAAGGGATGGGGTACATCACTCTCGTGCAGGAGTGGTAGCATTAGCCAACTAGCTCAAGTACTTTCACACTTCTCAGTGTGTCATCAGGAGCTATGCAATGTTGCAAGGGGAAGCTTTCTAGAGTAGCGCAGTGCCGGTGTGTCATCGGCCATAGCTTCTCTCAGAGTGTGGGCAACGGTCTGTGGCAACCCCGCACCACCACCATCCCCCTACTCCCCATATCGGGTAGGAGGGTTTTTGAAATGTCAAGTATTATGAAATTAGAAGATATAATAGCCAGCTCCAAGCTTCTTCTAGCTGCTTAGAACAGGTAATGAGACTTGAGAAAATACTTTTCTCATTGGATACTATATATATGGATTGCTATTATTCTGCTGTGGCCGGTGACACACCCATGCAGCACTACTCTGAGAAAACTTCCCCTGCTTCAGTTGTTGCCTTGCAACATTGCATATCTCCTGATGACGCACTGAGAAGTGTGAAAGTACTTGAGCTGAAGATTCACACCCCCCATGCCTTGTCTTGCATAGTTAAGATCGTCCTGTCTGCGAGTGTTTGCATATAATATATATATATAATATATATATATATATATATATATATATATATATATATATATGTCGTGCCGAATATGTAAAACTGGTCAATTAGCAAGAACTCATTTAAAATTAAGTCATTTCTGAAATTTTCTTTTATACGTTTAAAGATATATTTTTTTCATTAATGTTAATGTGAAAATTTTTAATTTTGCACTAAAAGAATCTTAGAAAACTTACCTAACCTTATTATAACAAGAACAATTTATTTTAGCCTATCCCAACTAAATATATTTTAGATTTGTTTACAATAATTTAATACTAAACAAACACAGTGAAATATATTTTTTTCGTTAGGTTCAGAATGATTTTGGCGAAATTATTGCATACACAAATTTTCACTTGTCCTATATGGCAAGATGAACGTTGCTATTTAAGCCAAGATCGCAAATTCTGCCTATTCGGCACGATATATATATATATATATATATATATATATATATATATATATATATATATATATATATATATATATATATATATATATATGCAAAACAACCGCAGAGAGAAGTGAATAACAGCACTAGGCCTTTCGTGCTGCAAACACCACATCATCAGGAGCTTGCAAACTTGCAGAAATTAAGAAATCTCAGCAGATTCGTTCCAAAGGACGCTTTCTAAAACTGAGGGTAGGATGAGGGGCAGGAAGCATACAGTTCCTAGGCACATGAGTGCCAAGTGCCAGACAGTTTCAGTATTATAAAAATAGAGGATAGTCAGCCCACAAGCACAGGTATTGGAGTGGTTAATTAACTAGCAGATTAACACTGATAACATAACGGGTTTGAAAATTATCAGTAGGACTTCAGTCAAACATAAAGGACTTAACATTCTGAATATGGATGAGTCTGGCAACTGTCTGAGGGAAAAACCTTTATGGAAAACGGGCAAACTCACCTAAAGCTAGACTAATGATTGAGCCTCAAATGGGGACACACAAACCCTAAGCCCTAATTCCTAAGACAATCCAAAGCATTCATATAAGAATCTGATTTTAAATTGCGCACGATAGCCTTAATTATGAACGAATCGAGATTGAATAGCCCATTATTACCATTATATAATGAATGTTTATCATGTTTATTAACAGCAGAATCAAGAATATTTCTTTCTAGCCATGAAGTACAATGACCTTTGCTACAGCCCACTTAGCCGGATTATTACATTATTACTGACGTTGTGCAATTCTAACATTTAGAGATTTACCAGTCTGTCCCGCATATGACAAGCTCCAGCCTTGGCACCCAGTCCTTTCCACATCACCTACACAGTGTTTGGGGGAATTCTTGATCATCATTCTCTTAACAGCCCGTAAATTCTCAATATATGGCAGGACAAGCACATTCTTGTTATATTGGGGTATTCTAGGTTCGATTCTATAAGTTTTACAGCTGCCTACAGAGCAATCTCTACCGACTCCTTAGGGCAACAAAGTTTTACAGTAATATCGAAGATTTTCCTGATTTCTTCATCCAAAAACTCAGGGCTACACACTCTGTAAGCTCTCAAAAACATTGTACGAAAAGCACTTCTTTTCACTTTATTTTCATGGTAGGAGTAAGAGTGGATACATGAATACACGTTCATAGCCTTCCTATATATTTTTTTCTCTACGGTGAATTTAATAGAGGGGACAAGAGAGTTAAGTCTCGAGAGTTACGTTCTTGAAATTCAATGGAAACTTCATCTAAATCTATTATTCTGCCCATTTTTTTTTTTCATCAAACGAACTTACTGACGTTCAGATTTATTCCCTCCTTTAGGTTCTTTAGGTAAATTATGAGCACCAGTGGGACTAAAGGTGAACCTTGTAGACCGTTACTTGTAAATGGTTCAAAACACAAAGCAAACTTTATGCTTGTAGATCAATGGTTCAGAGAACCGACATGTTGATAAATTAGACACATGTGCAACTCTTGGGTATCTTTATTGAGGATACCCAAGAGTTGCACATGTGTTTAATTTATCAAACTTTATGCATTGGTAAATATATCATCTTTTCTGCCAATTTTGCATAGGATCTAACATGTAAGTTTCGTATTGCATGTAGGGTTTAAATTTAGCATAGCGTCGGATCTATGTGACTAGAAAATTAAATTATATGAAGAACTGTCAATGAAAATTTATAAAGAATTTTCTTGGGAAAGCTCTCTATGCTGAGTGAAATGTTTTCTCAGTAAAAAAATCTGCAATGTGTATCTTCTTGTCGATAGTATGTTAATATGATGCAATAATTCAAGCATGATACCTGCAGGGAAGATCTTGAAGACACATGGCTCTCTCTGCTTCCCCACTAAGTTCGTAGCCCAACACAGCAGGAAACCGTAATCCCTTTGTGTGTGGGGCGTGTACGTCAGCTGGTAGGGAAGGATAAAAAGACGTTAGCGAGAGGGATAGAGATGTTAGTGATGGGAATGAGGTGACAGCGAGATGGAGGGACGTTTTAAAGAGAAGGACGGTCACAAAATAGCAAGTAACAGAGGTTGGTGGCACAAATAAACCAACATGGATATACCAACATATAAGATAAACAATACGTATGTGGCAAATCTATATATAATCATCAAATGTCCTGCTACCTAGTTTTAATATTATCGAACACAGCGAGACTTTCTGAAAATAAACCTGGAGACAACAGTACAAGTCATTACAATACCAGAAAATATTATTTAAGTAGAACTGCCATACATGGGGCCCTTTAATTTTTTTCTAAGAGGAAGGATATTCTGTCAGATTTGCTAGGTTTCTCGAATTAGTTTAAGAATAAGATTTAAAAACAAATTAATTGTGAAGTCATACCTCAGTATCTCTAAACTTTTTCTCTCTTGTTCTCAGAACTTGTTTATCCGCTTACCTACCCTAACTAGGATGCTCAAAACGTCCACTTGCACACACAATATGTGAGAATCTGGGCATTCTATATGAGACAAGAAAACCATTCCCCGGCTGGGATTGAACCCGCGGTCAGAGGGTCTCAAAACTCCAGCCCGTCGCGTTAGCCACTAGACCAGCTAGCCACAATAAGATTCATCCAACTAGGTATATTTCTACACCATAGAAAGGTTAGCACAGGCACCACTGTGACCACAAATGCAACGAACTAGCTTTTGATTTCTCCGAAGCGATACGTGACCACGGTGGAGCGGAGGACCAGACAACCACTAACACAGACTTCAGAATTTTGACCAATTTTGACCAATTCATGCTTTATATTTTAGTCTATATATTGCTATTGCTGTGTCAGGATAAAACCAGAGATGAAAAACACAACTACCGCAGTTCAGCTCTACACTAATATTGATAATTATAAATTGATCTAATTTATATAAACTCAACTTTTTGAAAATCAATTGGATGGTTAAAATCTCTTACATGAATAAATAGAGCATTGGAATCTTGTCCAGTTCTAATGCTATATTTATGTTGTTTTAATCTTTGTTCGAGATTTTTACCAGTTTGACCGTAATAAACTTTATCGCAAATTTTACAAGGAATCTTATAGACACATCAATCAGCATTTTGGGGGGAATTCTTTATCAAAAGTTTTTTTACTGTATCAAGAATTTTGAATACAACTTTAATATTAAAAGTCTTAAGAAGAGAAGGCATATCAACCAAGTTTTCATGGTAAGGGAGAACCAACATATTTTTAGTTGAATAAGGCTGGTTGTCCCTTTTTGGATTGTAAAAAGTATTTCTAGCAACTTTAAAAGATTTATCAATTACATTTCTTGGGTATTTTAAATCATTACCTGTTTCATAAATTTTGGATATTTCCTCATCTATGAACTCAGGACTACAAATTCGTGCAATTGGAGAGAATAACAGGAGTTGAATGGTAAAAGCCTGACTATAAAAGAGGGGACTACATAGGGTTGAAGAACTTCCTGTGGGAGGTCCAGTGGGACAGAGAACTGGCAGGAAAGCCAGTAAATGAAATGATGGAATATGTAACAACAAAATGCAAGGAGGCAGTGGAAAGGTTTATTCCCAAGGGCAACAGTAACAACGGGAAGACCAGAACGAGCCCCTGGTTTACCCGACGGTGTAAGGAGGCAAAAACAAAGTGCAATAGAGATTGGAAAAAGTACAGAAGGCAGAGAACACACGAAAATAGGGAGATCAGTCGCAGAACCAGGAATGAGTATGCACAGGTAAGGAGGGAGGCCCAGCGACAGTATGAAAATGACATAGCATCGAGAATCAAGACTGACCCGAAACTGTTGTATAGCCACATCAGGAGGAAGACAACAGTCAAAGACCAGGTGATCAGATTAAGGACAGAAGGTGGAGGACTCACAAGAAATGATCAGGAGGTATGTGAGGAGCTGAACAGGAGATTTAAGGAAGTTTTTACAGTAGAGACAGGAAGGGCTGTGGGAAGACAGCACAGAAGGGAACATCAAGAGGGAATATACCAACAAGTGTTGGATGACATACGAACAACTGAGGAGGAGGTGAAGAAGCTCCTAATTGCCTTGACACCTCAAAGGCGATGGGACCGGACAACATCTCCCCACAGCAGAGATGCTGTGCGTGCCTCTAACCACAATCTTAAACACATCCCTTGAAACTGGGCAACTACCTGAGAAATGGAAGACAGCTAATGTAGTCCCGATATTTAAGAAAGGAAACAGAAACGAGGAGCTAAACTACAGACCTGTGTCTCTGACATGTATTGTGTGCAAAGTCATGGAGAAGATTATCAGGAGGAGAGTGGTCGAACACCTGGAAAGGAACAAGATTATAAATGAAAACCAGCATGGGTTCATGGAAGGCAAATCTTGTATCACAAACCTCCTGGAGTTTTATGACAAGGTAACAGAAGTAAGACACGAGAGAGAGGGGTGGGTAGATTGCGTTTTCCTAGACTGCAGGAAGGCCTTTGACACAGTTCCCCACAAGAGATTAGTGCAGAAGCTGGAGGATCAGGCGCATGTAAAAGGGAGGGCACTGCAATGGATCAGGGAATACCTGACAGGGAGGCGGCAACGAGTCATGGTACGTGAAGAGGTATCACAGTGGGCGCCTGTTACGAGCGGGGTCCCACAGGGGTCCAGTTTCTAGGACCAGTGCTATTTTTGATATATGTGAACGACATGATGGAAGGAATAGACTCTGAAGTGTCCCTGTTCGCAGATGATGTGAAGTTGATGAGAAGAATTAAATCGGATGAGGATGAGGCAGGACTGCAAAGAGACCTGGACAGGCTGGACATGTGGTCCAGTAACTGGCTTCTCGAATTCAACCCAGCCAAATGCAAAGTCATGAAGATTGGGGAGGGGCAAAGAAGACCGCAGACAGAGTATAGGCTAGGTGGACAAAGAATACAGACCTCACTCAGGGAGAAAGACCTTGGGGTGACCATAACACCGAGCACATCACCGGAGGCACACATCAACCAAATAACTGCTGCAGCATACGGGCGCCTGGCAAACCTGAGAATAGCGTTCCGATACCTTAATAAGGAATCGTTCAAGACACTGTACACTGTGTATGTTAGGCCCATACTGGAGTATGCGGCACCAGTCTGGAACCCACACCTGGTCAAGCACGTCAAGAAGCTAGAGAAAGTACAAAGGTTTGCAACAAGGCTAGTCCCAGAGCTCAAGGGAATGTCGTACGAGGATAGGTTAAGGGAAATCGGACTGACGACACTGGAGGACAGAAGGGTCAGGGGAGACATGATAACGACATACAAGATACTGCGGGGAATAGACAAGGTGGACAGAGATAGGATGTTCCAGAGAGGGGACACAGGGACAAGGGGTCGCAACTGGAAGCTGAAGACTCGGACGAGTCACAGGGATGTTAGGAAGTATTTCTTCAGTCATAGAGTTGTCAGGAAGCGAAATAGCCTAGCAAGTGAAGTAGTGGAGGCAGGAACCATACATAGTTTTAAGAAGAGGTATGACAAAGCTCAGGAAGCAGAGAGAGGACCCAGTAGCGATCAGTGAAGAGGAGGGGCCAGGAGCTGAGTCTCGACCCCTGCAACCACAATCAGGTGAGTACAATTAGGTGAGTACACATACACACACACATACACACACACACACACACACACACACACACACACACACACACACACACACACACACAAACACACACACAAACTCATACACATACACATACACACACACACACACACACACCCACACACACACACACACACAGTAGGGACAGCGTGCGCGCAAGTCACACCTTCCGTGCTCCGGGAATATAAGTGTTTTTGAGGGCTATGCAAGTGTTCTGCAAGGGTTGCTAAGTGTGTCAGGGTAGTGAACAATCCTAGAAGTGATTTTTAATCTGCGTGAGCCACATAAGTGTGGGGAGAACCACAATTTTGTAAGTGATCTAGAAAATAAAAACGTTGTGGCGCAGAGTGGGCAGGCTAGTGTGGTGGTAAGGCGGCATTGCCAAGTGTCACCCAAGAAAGATAATAAAGTGAAACAATCGTGCGACCAGTGAGAGAAATACAGTGAATAGGGTACATTATTAACGAGAAGAAATTGAGGTGGATCTACGCCAGGACGTACATCGAGCTGGATCTACGCCAGGACGTCACATCGAGCTGGACAATCTACAGTGCTACAGCTGCACTACAAGTACTGTATCACCTATGAGTGGTTGTTTGGGTGTGGGGTTCCAGGTTCCAATTAACCGCCAAGCTGAATGTGAATGGTCTAACTCTCATAGCACGATAAAGAAAGGCACTCAAGTATTCCATAAGGAATAGCAAATGGTAATCCATTGAACAAGGCGATTAACTTACTATAAGCAGGTCAAGCATAGGCAACATTGTAAGTAGGTGAGCGTAAGTCTCAGGAGAGTGGAGTCAGGTCAAAAGAGGTTGTGGACACAAGCGACCACTGAGAATCCACATTACACTCCAAGCACAAACCACCTACTTTTCAGACACATAATAAACCCACACATAATTCGACACATAATTACACACACACACACACACATACACACACACACACACACACACACACACACACACACACACACACACACACACACACACACACACATATATATATATAATATATATAATATATATATATATATATACACACACACACACACACACACGCATATATATACACCACACATACACAAACACACACACACACACACACACAACACAAACACACATACACACACACACACACATATATACACACATACACAAACACACACACATACAGACAACATCTCTCCATTGGTCCTTAAAGAAGGAGCAGAGATATTGTGTGAGCCATTAACAAAGATCTTCAACACATCACTTGAAACTGGGCAACTCCCTGAGGCATGGAAAATGGCAAATGTAGTCCCAATTTTTAAAAAGGGA